TTTACCATTGACCCTGTTATTTACCATTTGTTTGCCTTCAATTTCATAAAACAGATCTCAAGTCACAGTTGCATGAACATAACTTTTTCTTCCCCCAAGAAAGAAAGATTATTTCCCCAAGATATAGCCCAAGAAGTTCGATTATTGAGTTAAAGTGCATGAAAGTTTTATTTTATGGTTCTTGAATTTGGGTCCTCTTGATTTCTACTAACTTACTACCTACGTTACTCCTCCTCCTCATAGCTTCCAAAATATTTACTCTCATCCCTCAGCCTCACTTTGAGCTTAAGCTCCTTGATCTGGTGCCAGGGCTCAGGATTCCCACACAGTATGGAGGGATGCACACCTAGATATCCACCCAAGTGAGGCAAGACTTGGGAAGTGAGGCAGGTATTGAGCAAGACAGGAAAGGATCCAATTCCAAGGGGTCAAGAAGTTCAAAACAACTTTTGTTATCAAACAAAACATGAGAACATCTGCCCGCTCATAAGTACTGCTGCCAGTGGGGCACCCCGGGAATGTTTGGGGCATCTTTCCCATGTACCTGGCTCCTACCAGAACCTTAAGCTTCCCTCTTATCTAAGGCCTCCCCTGAAGGATCTATGACATTGGGTTCATGAGCATCCATCCATGATAATAGGTTCCATCAATCCATGATAGAAGGCAAATAACTAGGAGGACATGTGGAGATTTTTACACAGTTCAACGCACGTATTATATCAATAGTTTAAATGACTGTCTTTTAATCCCAGTTTCTGTTCTTCATATTTTTGGAGGATTAATGTAGTCTGTCATTCATTTGTAATGCCCATGGCTTTGTTTAATTAACAGTTCACTCATTAAATATATTTTGAGAGCTCACTACCTGTCAGATGCAGACATTGCAGTGAACACAATAGACAAAGGAGTCTCTCTTGTGAGTGCCTGGCAATGCAATTGCCATTTTGATTGTAATATAAATTTTGATTGTAATATAAATTCCCAACATTAAGCTTTTCCCTTTCTGCACTTTAAGTTCCTCTCTTATGTTTTAAATGCACCTATAAAGAGTGAACCTGTGAAATTCTAGGCACCCCACCCTCAACCTCAATAAGGGCAACACCCCAGATCCAAATTCTTCCCTCTCTCTAGCCACAACCTTGCTATATGGCAACAGCACGCAGGATCCCCTCCAGAACCTGTAAGTAGTAAATCCTGTCTTTTCAGAATTCCCTGAGAACTATTGCTGATGTGCATCTTGCAATCATAATAAGAACAACAGGGCTGGTCCATCCACAACATTGCTCAGGTCATCACAAATAGCGTGGGCCCAGGTGAGTTCCCACGGGCATTTTAAGCTGATGGCATCACTATCGATAGGCTGAGACTGACGTTGTTCAGCTAAGGTCAACTCTGACTGTCAAGGCTTTGTGTCTGCAGACACGGCCCCCTCCAGGTGGACTCAGGTTTGTACATCTTTGTTTCTCCACGGCAGTGTCCTGCACACAGTCAATTCTCAATAAACCTTTGCTGAGGACAGGATTTTACAAAGATACCAACACTTCTGAAAGGGTAAGGAAGTGTGTAGACTAGAAGATGGGCTGGCAGCATGGAGGGGGCGTGAAGTCCATCAGCTCCATGCTGCCTGGCTTCCAGTCCCAGGTCTACTACAGGACCTTCAGCAGATTCTTTAGTCTCTCAGATCTGTGTCCTCATCTGTAAAGTGGGGAGGATGGTAAGAGCACTTGCCTCAAGAAATTATAAGGACTGAAGCCCTTGAGACAGTGTTAGCCACACTGGAAGCTCTCAATAAATGTGATCTAGTTGAGCTATAACAGTAAAATCAGTTGGGTGCTAAATAAACTGGCTATTAGGTGATTGTGTCAATATTAAACCAGAGGAAAAGATCATAGTCCAGAGAATCAAAATAAAATCGAAGATACATTTGGCTGACCAAAATATTAAGGATATAATAGGAAAATTTTTATTTGTACATAGAGGACAGTGCATGGGGTGGGGGGAAGGGCAGGAACTACTCAGACTTTGTTATCCTTCTGTGCTATGTCAAGGATAAAAAATGGACACAATTTCATTTATATCTGTGATAGAAATATAACAAAATTCTCTTGCCAAATCCAGGTGTTTCCAAGGATGAGGACATGCCAGAACCCAACGACAATGGTTAAACAGAGCTAGGAAATTAACACACAGTCCAGGTACTTTCCAGAAGTACGGACATTCCACAGATAATTTCTGGTGCCATCAAAAGTTTTGGAATTTAAGAAGTTTCAGAGAGGGTGGGGTGGAGTAGAAAAGAGATCATTGGTCACAACCAGCAAAAAGAGAAAGGCCCAAGTTTGCAGAGTTTGCTCTTTTCTCTGTGAGTGTATGCGGCACTGGGTAATTAAAGCTTGTTGACTCTTTCACTCTTTCACTTTCGGGAAGGAGGCTGAGAAAGAAAGGAGATGGGTCCAATAAACCAAGAATTCCTTCAAGTTATAAGTATATTTTTAGTAACTCCTGACTTCTGGGAAAGTAGACATTACTTCAGGATCAGATCTTGACCGTGCCTTTTACACTGGGCTAAACGTCACTCTCTAAAACCCTTTGATGAAAATGTAATTATGTTAAAGATATGCACAGGCTAATTGAGACCACATTTAGGAAGTTCCAACAAACACCCAAACAAGACATTTCTATCTAAGTAGAACAGATGTGATTAAACCAGTTGCTACCACTTCTATTCCTTACCACCTGCCCATGTCCCTTCCCCTGCCTGCCCAGGCTCCCTCACTGGGCCTGTGTCTGGACCACGCCTGCTCTATTCAGGACTGACTGTCCAAGACCAGGGCAGTGACCATGGGGTCATGGCCAAGTTGGACCCAACCATGTGTTCTCACTTGCTTTTTAAAACTTGAGCCACTTAACAAGGAAAGGGTAAATCACAGAACCACAGATATAGTTAAGAGACTGTGGAGATCTTCCAATCCAGCTTTCCATCGAGAAATCCTGCTCTGTCTGGGCAGCAGTGGGCTGGTGTGCATGTGTGTGTGTGTGTCTGGAGTTGCCAGGGCCTGGCCTAGCCATGGGGCTGGTAGCTGACTACCAGCAGGGAGCAGGGTTAGAGTAGAACTTCACCAGATCCTGAAGGGTCCCTTCTTAAGTGCCAGGAGTTGCAAGACTAGGGATGCAGCTGGGACTCAGTACTTCAGCCTCCTTAGGGTGGGCTGGGATTCTCAGTTAGGACACACACCTCACTCATGCAGAGAATTCTCAGAGAGGGAGCAGAACAGGGTGGCAGGGGAGGGAATCCAAGTCACTGTGTTTGGCAGAGTCTGCTCTCTTAGGCTAGGTCTACAGCACCTCATTAGGGTGCTCTTGCATCCTCCTCCATCACCCAGTTCCTGTAAAAAGTAGAAATGGAGGTACTTATTGTGGGGTCCTGGAAAGACCCCAGTCAGGGCATCCCAAAATGTGCTCAGCCAGAAAATTCTGAAAGAGGCTGTTCCCACTCTCACAAGCACCCATTCCATCGGGGCCATGGTATTGCTCAAGAAATTTGTTTTGTTGAATCATGATAAGCTTTCCCCAGCTCTGGCCCCTGGGCTCACACAGATAGCACAGTCCGTGTTGTGTGCACATACACACACATACACACACAGAGGAGGGCACACTCCCCCAAGGCAAGGCAAGCCTACAACTGATTTGAAGACATTATTATTACCCTTTATGCCTCTGCAGATGAAACACACTTAGCCCCTTCAACTATTCCTACCTGGCCTGGTGTTAAAACCCCTTCACACCCTGTGGGCACACACTAGTTTGACGATGGCCCTCTTTGCGTGACCTGAGAACTGAAGAAGCAGCACAGCAGTCAAATCGCAGGTTCACATCCCAGCCCCATTTCTCATTTCCACAGTTTCCTTAGCAGCATCTGGTTCTGAGAATTTCGGACTGTGCCAGGCACCTGATAAGCAGCTAATTAAGTTTTATCCAAGAGTTAACTCAATGCATAGTATATAAGAAGTATGTGGCACAGACCCAACTCCTGCGGCTGAATAGTCCACTTCCATTACTCACCAGTTTCCTTACTGATAAACAAAAGTACCACCCCTGAGTTTTGAAGAGAAGTCTCCTGGTCAGTGATGGGTGCATAACAAAGAGGCAACAAACTTGGTCCTTCCCCTTCCTGCTGATGCAGTGGTTGGCAGCTGCCCTCTCTGGGTCTCTTGCAGTTCTGCACATCTTGCAAGCAGAGGCACCCACTGCCTTTCTGCCAGACTATCCTTTCAGGAATATTTGTATAGTAAATAGCCTTGGAAGAGAGTGTCTCCCTTTGGAGCAAAGTGCAAGCACACTTACTGTCCATTATAAAAAAAAAAAATTGAGTTCTCCAAGCTCAGGGTTTCTTGCCACTGTGGTGCAGGTACCAACTGGCTCTCCTTGTGTCACTGTAGGGTAAGATAAAAAGTATCGGGCTTTTCTGCCCTCCTGCCATTAGAATAGATGACAGGACCCTGTGGTCCCGAATGCATGCCTGATGGCGGGTACCTGGAGTAGGGTGTGGGCATATGTAGATAGGATTCACTGGGGCTAAGTCTGGGCTTTTAAGGGTGGCATCACGGGGATGCCAGCAGAAGCAGAAAAGAGAAGAGAAGCAGTAGAAGCCGAGAACGAAGCAGAAGCAGAGAGAACATCAGAGAAGGCGAGAGAGCCCAGAAAGAGTGAAGACTTGCTGGGGGCTGGGAGGCCTGCCAGTCTCCCGGCACCCCAGCACCCCTGCCTGTCGTGTACCTGGTAAATCCCAATAAAAGCCTGAAAACCCGCCGAGGTCTCCAGGACCCTCTCCTCCTTTACCTGGTCTGCATAGAGTCATAGAAAAACCTGCTCTGTGTCCTCCTGACCCTTACAGTCACCCTCTGGGGAATGGAGATCAAAGAAGTAGTATGAGAAAATACTGATACTCTGGTTACTGTTGTGAGTCATAAAGTTCTTTGTTCCTAGCTCATAGATCTCTTCTTCCAGCTTTCATCGCCTGTGGGAGACTCACTGCAGAGGGAGTTGGCAAGCAGTGTTGAAATCTCCAACACTTCATAGTTATCATCAGCAACCTAGAGAAAACATGGTGGTGAGGTATGTCCCCCCACAGTCTCATCTTAAGCCATCATCAACCCCATCACATTTTGTCCATAGTTAGCCAATTTTTAAAAAATTCTAAATGAAGGATTTCTTTATATTGATTTTCATCCAATGTTCCACTCATTTGAAGTCACTCTGAGATTTTTCTTTGGGGGGAAGGAGTATCTTTTGAATTTGAAGGCTGCCCTTTCAGGTTCCCTATCTGAGACACGCAGACCACAGTCTCTCCTCCTGTCCCACTCCCTCCTCCCACCAAACCAGATAGATCCTCCTTCATAATCTAGACTCTCATCCATATCAGGCACTGGGTTTGTAGTGTATGTAGCTCATGGCAAATTTACACCTTCATTCAATTTATGGGCAAAACTGCACATCATCATAGAATGTTCTTCGCTCTCTCCTCCCCCTTCCCTGAGATCACTGAGTGGGCTTCCCATACTAACCACGCCAGCCACCCCACAAGGTAGAGAGGCACAATCTGAGGGATGTGACATGGCTGAAGGTCAGTCAGCAGGACACTAATCAGTGTCGTTAGGAATAGATAAGAAGAACACCTACAGCTTTCTGGGAAGTCCAATCTAGAACCACCAAAGCCGAGATCAGAGAAGGCAGCTACTTGGGTAGGGGCAGGAAAAAGCAAATACTACCACATATGTACTTTAGATTCACGGCAAGCTCTAAGGAACACAGTTGGGGATGAGTGTACAAAATAGCCTGTACAATTTCAACTCACCACTCCACTCAGGTGGCTGAGTGGGAGGCTGTAAATATGGAGTTGTCAGTGGCTCTGAATCTTTCTCAGAAACCATGAAGTAATGGGTCATGATCTTTACCCCTGCACCTCCATTGCCACAGTCATCATTTTCAGACCAAGAAATTTTGCACATGCCAAGCTCTAGCTTACAGAAACCCACTGATGAGTCAACTAAGTCACCAGTGATTTTCATAGCTGTCTCCCTTGGGACCTTCCTTGCATTTTATACTTACCCTCCCGTTCTGAAACTGGGCATATCTAGGTCTCAGCATCTGGTATTAAGTTATAACTTATGATTCTTTTCAAAAATAAATAAAAATAAATAAGTCAATAAATCTCTTGAGCTACAATGCTTTCCTCTTATTCATCTTTTTAATATTTGGGGCTTTATTTTTAGATTTTACAGTCTAAAGATTTTTTACAATATTTTTAACCATGACAAAGTATCCAAGACTTCAACATCTGGTCATAAGTTACTTGCAGAACTGTGGCATAGTTTTCTTTCTTTTGAAAAATGATTAATTTGCAATGACTTTAATGGATACTAAATGAATAAATTGAATAAAAACAGATTTTTATCTTAACATAGTTGCAGCAGTAAGCTTAGGCTTTATCAGGCCCCATGACCGGGGATTGCCAGGAAAAGTTTAGTAATTAGATTCCAAGGATAGTTCCAGAGGATGGACCCTTGGTTTGCCAGCTTATGACCAGCTTAAGCTCAGCAGGGCTGGGGGGTCCACCACACGTAGGAACTCCTTTGTGTTGTCGAGGGCTCAATTTCTAATCCTGCCTCCCTCAAGATGGCTCCCATCTCTTCAAAGTGCTCACAGTACCCCAGCCAGAAACTATTCCTATCCTTTCCTATGACCCTTTGGATCCTCTGGTTTCACTGTGAAAAAGAGGACAGGATCCAAATCTTATTCTAGACTCCTGAAAAAAAAAAAACAGAAAAAACCCATTACTTTCCCTATATGATCTCCCAGTGTGCCCAACTCTTAGGAGTCTTTGAGGCAGTTCTACCACAGAAATTGCCCCCACTCAGAAATGGCCACCCCCTCTGGCCTGGATACCTCCCATGGACACAGACCAATGGAACCCAGTCCAGAGTAGAACTGATTGTCCCAAATGCTGCCTACACAATTCCTCCCAGACACAGAGCCCTGTGGAATGCTGTTCTTTATCAGGATCTGAACTGACAGTTCTGGGTCAGACACTTCTAAGGGAAGCCATGTGGGGGGGCTCCTCTAACCTCCTTCAGTCACGGCAGGGGTCATATACACTTCACACAGAGAAAAGAGCCTCCCACTGCTACAGCCATCAATGCACATTCAAAAAGCTCATCCTGGCTCTTCAGTGCCTCCTCCCTCAGGTTGGAGCAGTATAGGGGCTGCGAGTTCCCTACATCAGGAATCTGATATTTCTGTATTTCCTTCCTGCTCTTCCCATTTGTCTTCTCCTCTGCCACCCAACACTTTCTTCCTAGAGTAGGGAATATCACCTGCCTCTTTGCCTAGAATGGGACCAGTCCTACGCCCTCTTCAAAAGCACTGTCCCACTGTCCCCAAAAGTAGCTCCTACAAGGAAATATTCCTTTAGGCCTCAACCTCCATAGAGAAGATCTTTGCCAGAAAGGCTGGTAAGTCACAGCTTTGAGTGGTTTCGGGTATAAGCAGCACACTAAAACCACGCTAGTGTCAGAGAGTTCCCAGCCTAATGGGGAAGTCAAGGCCCCTGACTATACATGAAACCAGAAATCATTGATAGGACACTACTCCCCACTTAATAACACATTCAAGTATTCTCTCTGCACTAGCATAGTTAATCACCCCCTCCTTCTGTAAAGACTTTCTTCTCTTTATTACCAGGACACTGCACTCTCCCCTTTTATTGCTTGCTTCCTCTTCCCAGCCTCTACCTGGTAGGCATGCTCACTATCAAGAGGTTCAAATTCAGACCAGTGGTTTTTATATACCATCTAGAAGCTAGAGCCTTCCAAACACATTTCCCAATCCAACCTCTCTACTAAACTTGAGAATTTTACATCCAACTGCCTAATTTCTATCTCCACTGGTTTACCTAACAAGACAGAAGAAGGTCTCTTAACTTTCTCCAGCCAAATATGTTCCTCCTGTGGAATCCAGGCAAAAGACTCCACCAATCATTATGCCTGGCAGTCAGCTCTCACTCACTGCCTCAGTCCACTCCATCAGAGCAACCCATTGGCTCTCCCTTCAATCTGATCACTCCTTGCTACCTCCACTAGTGCCAGCCACCCAGGGGCCAGAGTCATGCTTAGACAGCTGCAGCAGTGTCCTAGCTGCCGTGTCACTGTTCTACACTGCTTCCTTGCAGTCAGTCCCCAACAACAGTCAGGTCATGACATTCCCACTCAACACCTTCCAATGACCACCATATCAAGCAAAATAAAATCCAAACTCCTTGTGATGGCCTAGGAGGCTCTACTTCATCCAGCCCTGCCCTTTGCTGCTCCCATTCTCTGCCTCATCTCCATTCTGGGGCTTGTGGGCCTGTTTGCTATTCCTCCAACTGCACATACTTCACCCTGCCCAGGAACTTTGCAATGGCTGGCTTCTCTGCCTTGAAAGAGTTCTTGTTCCAGATCTTCTAAAGATTCACTCCTTTACTTCATTTTCTCTTTACTCACATCTCACCCACACAGAGAGGTCTTCCTTCCATAGAGAGGCCTTCTTTGACTACATATATAGCTCTATCTATCTAATGACATATGTATCTATATGATCATTCTATTTAAAACAAACTCTATTCCCTTACCCTGCTCTATTATTCTTCATTGCATGTTAAAACTGATGCCACACATCACTCTCTTCCTCTCTCTCTAGAATGTAGATTACACCAGAACAAGAACTTTGCCTTGCTCATCACTGAAGGTATTTGTTGAATGAATGAAAGCATGTTTGATACATTAATCATATCAATGTTAACCATATTGACATGAATTACATTCTTTTCTTGGGAATGGGGATGAAATTTTTCATAGAAAGAACAGTGTAAGAGATGGTTACAATATTGGCCAAGGCCATAATGCTCAACCTTTCAAGAAATATGATCAAATCTCATGCTTTACTCTCTAAAATGCATGTGCTTTTACTAGAAAAAATGAAGCACATCCAAATATACTTTGCTATGATATACATCAACATTCATTGTTCGAGGTTATTTTATCAAGAGCAAAATTAGTATTTTCATTAGCTTGTGGAATTCAGATAAGTTTTCTATAGGCATCGCTAAAAAAAAAAAAAAAAATGGATGGAGGAGACTAAAGATTACTTGCCCCTTATCTGTCAAGAAACAATTGTGCTTGCTAGAGGTTCCTGCATGTAAGTGGGCCACGAAGTCAAACTTTAAGGGACTCCCATAGAGAAGGGCACCAAGTAATAGGCAGCCCTCATGGTGACCAGGGGTGTTGTTTCAGCTTTGCTTATGAAGCCCTGTTCCCTCATCAGTGCAGGGGAAAGAGTCCCCATCTCAGGCTGGATGACCTCTGCAGTCTTGTCCACTCTAGTTTTTACAATGGAAGTCTGTCCACTTTTCTTCACTGAAAATTTCACTGCCATAGCATAAAGTTGCTAACTACCCAGCAAGGACTTCTTGCATAGCCCACTCCTCAGTGCCGGACATTCTGCCTTCATCCTGATTTTAGTCAAGGCAAACCTGCCATAAAATAAAGGGTTCGCATTAATTTTCCCACCCTTTGATCTTCTGCCTCTGTGGCTTTACAATGGCAAAGTGCCTTTAGGCTTTGCCTTTCAAAGGAGCCAAGCTCAGATATACATAGTGTTCACTTTGATCCAATCTCCCTTGACTCCTAAAATAATGCCTCCCAGCTCAACCACAGGTTCTGTGTTTTCTTTCAGGCCATAAGTAAAACACTGTTTTTTCCTTTATCAATCACATTAGAGTCCAACCTCACAGGCACCTTTTAAAAATTCCTTTAAAGTTATGGGATTTATTTTCTTAACAAAAGAGGGGCACCTACATACTTAGTTTTGTCTTTCAAAGTAGTCTAAGCCATTCTCTCACTTCAATGATGGGGCCATAGTTCAAAGCAGATCTAAAACCATGGGGGAAATGATGAGTGTTATTTTAAATCACAGATGTGCTTCCCTTGACTGATTCCTTTCCCCGCCTCCTTCTCCTCACTTTCTTTGCTCCTGGGCTCGGTATGGTCCTGTCAGCCTCCTCCACTGTGAGAGTGAAGGGACGGCCCCAAGCAGATGTTGACAAGGGCAGAGAAGTGCCGTAACTGTGAGACCCTAAGGAAGGGTCTAGGGGGCAGAGGAAAATCATTTTCATAAGTTAAAGCATCAGAAAGCAAGGACCCCGCCCTCAAATTATACATGCACAATCCCAAAAGCTTAGTCTTACTTTTGAAATGTTAGCAAGAACATTTAGCATTGTATAACTGCCCACTCAATCCACATTACTGTCACGTGGGATTCCTCCCGGAGCTAGTGAGATGACCGGGTCTGTGAAGCAGGCCTTTGGGAGCTCCCAGTCAGAACGCGAAACAGCGCCATCCCACAATTAACCTGCGCTCCAGCCCCAACAGTGCCTGTTTGCAAAGGAGCCACAGTTAAGGAGAAATCAAAACCAAACAGAGTTAATTGAGCAGCCTCCTGGAGCTGCATCAGAAGGAAGGTTTTGGTCATTTTGGAAGGATGGGAAGCCAGAGTTTGGCATTGTGAAGTTCCCAGCAGAGGCCAGAGCAGCCAGCAGGCACCTAATTAATCTTGTTTCCTGGCTGACTCCGTATGGCTTTCACCGACTTCATCAGTTCTAGAATTCTGACCAGCTAAGCCAAGGTCAACAGATAATGCTAAAGCACGTTGACATCACCCCCACCTGCCTGGGCACCTGGCCCAGGGTCATCTCACCTTGGGGGCATCGGCCTCCCCTGGCCTCCTAGGAAGATGTACAGTCTACCTCTCTGAGAGCGCCTCGGGCTAGACTGAAAATGGTCAACAGTAGGGGTGAAGCTCTGCTTACTCTCCAGCGTCACCTCTGCCGTTTGTTGTGGCAACTGAGCTGGGAGCACAAGGAAAGGCATCCTCCAGGTCTGCTTCCCTGTGGGCTGCGGGAGCCCTCAACTGGGAAGCTCCTGAAACTGTCTGGAGCCACAGAAGAGGCAGTCAATTTGGGAGGCACATAATCGGTGTGGCCATCTTCTCAGTGGTGGGAAGGAGGCCACGAGAGTCAAGTCAGGGACAGACCTGCGAAAGGGTGTGGGCGAGGCTGGGAGGAGCAGTCTCTCAGAGAGGCTGCATGGAAACGCCCCAAAGACAACAGCAGCTGCTTTTATTACAGCATGCAAGGGGTTATGGGGGTTTAGAGTTCAGGAACAGTAGTCACTAGAACCAGAACAGGTGCTTTCTTCTGCAGAGGACAGATGTTGCGTACTAAGGAGCTAGGTGAGGTCACAGGGTCTGGGCAGTGGCCTCTCAGGAGTGAGGGAGGAAGGCCAAGGAGCTGCCTCCTATGACAGGAGCTGATCAGGGGGAAGCTGGCAAGGAAAAGGAGTCAACAGGTCAGGGGAAAGTGCCCACCTGGGAGAAGACTGTCCTCGGAAATGAGTGACCCCTCACTGTCCTGGGGCCCAGTCTGTGTCCTCTACTCCCCCAGAACAACACATGGCCTTCAGCCAGGGTTCTTGAAACTTCACCCTTTTCCTCCCTTCAGAAACTGTTGTTTCCCTCCAGCAGCAAATCTCACCTACTTAAGAGGGAAACAAATACTGATAGTGAGTAGAAAATCCATTTTCTCAAAAGTGAAAGAGTTTATCTCTGAGTTCTTTCTGTGCTACACCTCTAGGGGTATATTATTTTCAATAACAGTTTGTAAACCCCAAGGAAATCAAGCTCCAAGATGGAATTTCAATAGAGAGACTTTTAGACCAAAAGGTCCTCATTCAACCCCTTAATCACAGGAGAGACTTAGAAGGTAGAAACCCCTGATCTAGGGAGGTGGCCCCCCATTCACTGGACAATAAATGAGAGTGACTGGGCCCTCCCAGGAGGGTGCAATAGGGTGAAGTCCTATCCTGTTATAGTCCTGCAAGGAAATGTGCTTTTCCACCTTGTCAAGGAGCTTCAGCAGAAAGCTAATCCCAAGAGTGCCAAGCAGTGGCTCCTGGTATTGTTTGACCAGAGGACCAAGTGGGAGCTGAAGCGGGATGGTGTTCCCAGGTAGTGGTTTCTGCATCTCATAGGTTGAGCCAGTCAGTCCTAGCAGAATTGCTTTCACCCTGCCAGTTTGGCCCACCCACTCTCCTCAATGATTCTCCACTCTGGAGAGGGCTCAGGGATATCTGTGGCTCTTAGTTCCTTGACCTTGACTCCATGTCCAGCTTGAGTGCTCCTGGCACCTCATCCTCAGAAGCTACTCTTCCATTTGCTGCCTGCAGGTGCCTCCTGGCCCGCTGCTCCTCCCTTGGCCTGGACCCACCACCTGTACCACCTGCTAGAGGCCCCAGCTCCCCTGCTATGCTTATTCTTTGGCCCAGTTGATTAGGCCGCTCTTGGCTATAATCCTTTCCCAACTCAACATGTACCAGGGGTTGCTTCTAAAAGGACTGGAAGTCACAAGAAAATGGCAAAATTATATCACTATTATTTAAAAGCTGATATAAAAGCTGGTAACATATATATGCAACACGGTTCATAAACTAATCTTGTGAGTCAATCAAGATTCCATCTATCCTGTGTTCCCCAACACTCAGGGCAAAAAAAGTGAAACAATGTGTCACATAATTCTCCAGGCTGTTTAAGAAGGCAAAAGCACTTCATCAGGAAACAGGGCCCCTCGAAGGCTAATCCGGATGGAGAGGGGACTGAATGCCACTTAGACGATTCCTCCTGCCAGATTTTCAGAAAGAAATATTCACCATTTGTTCACTTTTTAATATCAATTTAATGAGAGCAGGAAAATCTCAAAATATACCCCTGGAGGTGAATTGGAATTTTTGCAGAGAGCTAAGGGTATATGGTTTGGGCAGAGGTCTGGGAAGTTTAGTATGACACAGAGGCCTCAGTGGAAAGCTGAGCTGCCCTCACCTCCCATTCAGTGGGGAAAGTGGGGAGAGGAAGATGGGGGGAGGAGGCAGCACTGGGATATGCCCTGGGTTTGTGACTGCCACAATGACAGGATGGGGGGAGGGAACAAGGATGCCAAGTAGCCTACATTAAACAGAAAGCTCATGAGAAAGAACTGTCTGGCCTGAGATACTGATAGTGCTCCTGTTGAGAAACACTGGAAGGAAACCATTAATTAGCATGACTCTTCAAATGTCTCCTTTAAATATAAATTAAGTCTTCACAGGCAGCTGACAGGAGAAGATCTGCTCAGGAATACAGATGAAGGGGGATGCCAGGCTTCTACTTTGTGAGTCCTGCTGGTGGTGCCAATATATTGTCTTATGAGGAGAGATGGTCTAATAGGTACTGTTGGCTGGAAAGAGAGCTGAACAGTGAGATACAGACATAACTGTGGAAAGGAAGCGACCGCTCCTGTTGTTTCTTCATAGTCTACACAAGGACACAGCTGGAAAAGCAAAACTGCATCTCAACACATCACAGGAGAAACTATTTTAGTCTAGGACAGTGGTTCCCAAAATAGATTCAAGACCAGGGAGCTTATTGGACTCAACTCAGACCTATGGAATAGAAATTCTAAGAGTAGGGCCCACTAGGTGAGTGTGAGGCAGGCTCAAGTTTGAGAACCTTTGGCCTAGGTAGTTTGGGAGGTGAGGGCAGCTCAGCTTTCCACTGAAGCCTCTGTGTTGTACTAAACTTCCAGACCTCTGCCCAAACCGTATACCCTTAGCTCTCTGCAAAAATCCTTACCCTTGGGAGAGTTTTTTTAAGATACCAAG